CAAGGGCGGCGGAGGCGGCGAGACAGACTGATTGGCGTGCTCATTTGGTTGATGCTGGACTCCATCAGGAGACTGAAGAGTCTCAGCTCAGATGTACCAATTAACTTGGAGCCTCTGGCTCGGCGTCATTCTTCACGTGGGGACCCTGCTTTTTTCAGGGTTCTATAGAAACGAATGACAAGATGTGCCAGGGAGTGCATAGGTAGATTGCTCGGATAAAGGCTTGTGTCTGTAAGCAAGCGCCCCACAGGAGCATTGCCTGGCTTTGCTCGTGGGTATCATCATGATGCCCTCCGGGGCGGGCACCTGCAATCCTCATCGCGTAACCACAGAAACAACAAATGGTATTCATGCGTGAGTTTGTCCACCACCCGGCCACCTCTGCAAAGAGTTCACTCTTCAAACTCCTCAAACTCCTTGCTCCCTTACTTCTTTTTCATCCCACCTGCTACCTTGTTTCAAAGATATTTTGTAGCCTTTTGTCAGGAGTGGGGCAAATAGCGGTCCTACCGGAGCTGGGTCTGGGCTCATCTCCCAGCTGGCCCAGTCTGTGAACACTGTCTGCTGAACAGCGCTAGTAACAGGAAGCTCACTACTTTATGGGACAGCATAATCTTCTTTATTAAAGCTGAGTTCCGCCTCCCTGCTATGCTTGTTCTGACTCCTTGAAACTTTACCGGACGAGTGTAGCTCCATTTTCTATGTCACAACCCTTGAAATGTAGGGAAATGAAGATGGTGGATCCAGCAAATGTTTTCACGCTCTGGTTTCCACTCTGGACAGGGAAGCCGACTTTCCTCACTATTAGATCCTTCAAGATGGTGAGATAAGAGCTAGCATGGGCTGGGTGCCTGGGCTCTGTCCCCAGTGTTCCCGGAAGAAAGGAAGCGGCGTTGTGTACCCAGGAAGGAACACATGTGGAGGTTTACAGGTGAAGGGGCAAGTTCGCTTCTGTTTGAGGTCCTTCTGTCTGGGGTCCTTCTGTCTGGGGTCCATCATGTTTGCCAGACATGCTCTGAGTAGTTGCCTGGGACAAGCCTGAGCTGCAGAGTTTGGGGTCTGTTTTACAGCTTCCTCTGTTCCCGAAGGTTCCTTTTTACAGCTCCTACAGCTTGACCCCAGCGCCCCTGGGAATGCCGACTGACAGCTGCACGGGGTAGAGCCGCAGCAGCCCATGTCGGGTGCCAGCTGGCCGTGCCTGGCCACCACCCGGGGATGTCAGAGCAGAGCTGCAGGCCACCCTTCCGCCAGCAGGAAGCCCGGCCGCAAACACTTGGACAGGAAGCCTGTGTGTTGGCCAGCTGAGACAGCTCTGGTTTCTCTTGTGTCTGAGGGTTTGGCCTCTGGGTAGAGGAAAGTGAGCCAGGTGCTGCGGGCTGCGCCGCGCCGATGGGGCCACGGACTCCCCCTTGGGCTTGGGTTGTGGGTTCAAGGGTGTAAGCCGAAAAGCATCGTCCAAGCTGGGGCAGAGGAGGTGTTTCCTGGAGGAAGGGCGAGGGAGCAGGGAACACGATGTTTACCAGGCCTGGGCCAGCTGGCTGACGCTGAGCTGCAATCCCTTTGTGCTGGCTCCAGGGATGATAGGGTTGATGGTTCAGTCCTCCAGGGCAAACCCAGGCTGGCTCCCATTTCTTGGCTCTCTCTACATCTGGGAACGCACTCTGCAGTCTCATGGGGTTGGGATGTCCACATGTGCCTGGCTTCCAGGATGATCCTCAAGGGTGCCAAGCTGTGTGTGGGAGAATTACTGAAAACTGAGCATGCTCTGCCAGGGACAAAGATGGATTCTACATGCAGGGTTGACATTTTTTTACTCCTGACTATATATGTACACATCTTGAAGGCAGTCTCTGCTTTCATATAACAGTCATGAAGGTCCCTAGGATCACAGGGCACTTAGATTTTCACAAGTCCCCTCACAGCCTGATTATCCAGTAAGAGATGTCTGGCGTCAGGTACCCAGGTAAGCAGATTGGCGTAAAGTCACACAACTCAGCAGTGGCTGAACCTGGGTGACCACAATGACTTCTGCCACTCTAGAAAGAGAATGAAGAGGTTTCTTTTCAAAAATCTATAGATGCATCCGAGCATGCCCACCTGGGCATCTGCGTTGGGCTGACATCCCCAGGGGGACTCGGCTTGTGGCTTTTGTCACTTCTGGGCTTCCTGGAAGCTCTTTTCTCTTGCCGTTTGAATAATCTAGGTTTTATTCTACTTTGTGGCCTCTGTGGTTTTGATTCTAGACCAGGGTTCAGCAACTTCTTCTACAAAGGCTGCCGGGTAAACACGCTAAGCTTTGTCGGACATGTGTTATTGGTGGCCATGGATCAGCCTCTCCTGTGGATGTGTGAAAACGACTACAGATAATACATAATCAAGTGGTCTTATCTGTGTCCCCATAAAATTTTATCCACCGAACAGGCAGTGGGACAGAATTGGACCCCCTCAAGCCACAGTTTGTTGGCCTTAAAACTCCTTTAAGCCAAAACTATGTCTTTTTTTGTTTGTTTGTTTGGTTTTTTGTTTGTTTGTTTTTATACAGAGTCTCACATACTGGCCTTGAACTCACTATGTAGTTAAGAGTCAGAGTTCATCGAATGACTGAGTAAATAAACAAATTAGCTCCTGCATGTCATTCTGCTCCCCAAGTGGGGACAATGAGATGTTATTGAGTGTCATCTCCTTGAAGAAATACATAGGCTGGTTTGAACCAGTTCTGCTCTGGTTACTCTGGCATGTGGCTCATCTTTCTCACCTTTGTTCCCCTTTGAAATGTAGGATAGTGGGTGCATAGAAAGTCTGAGGTCCGGTGGGGAGGGCTGGAGAACTGACAAGAGTTGCTCCCTGCGAGGAAGCAGGGTGGCCACTGAAAGTCACCGTGTCCTGACAGGTTTAGATTGAACCTCAGGGTTCTCTTGTGCTGTGGTCCAGGAATAGCATACTGTGAATGAGGAGCATTCCTTAGCCTGGGAAACTGGGCTCACGGCAGCTTGCAGAAAGTTCCTGTGGGGCACCCCAAACACACTACTCTATCCAAATGACCTCTTCATATCCACCCCGTCCTCTTTCTCCACTCTCTAGACCCCAAGCCAGAAGCTCCCCCGCCCCATCTCCTCTTCTCCAAGTATGGCCCAGTTGGGGTCATCAGCTTTCTGAAAGTTGCTCTCTGCTTTTGAATAGGTTTATTGAGACACGATTCCGATAACTAGCAATTGACCAGCTTTGATGATAATTCAGAGGTTTTCATATGTTTATAAACTTGTATTGTCAGGGCTGGAGAGATGGCAGTTCAGAGGTCCTGAGTTCAATTCCCAACAACCACATGGTGGCTCACATCCATCTATAATGGGATCTGATGCCGTCTTCTGGCCTGCAGGTGGACATGCAGAACACCCATACATAAAATATAAATAAGTTAAATTAAAAACCCAAAGTTGTGTAATCATTATTACAACGATTTAGAGCATTTCCATTGTTTCTAAAAGCAAACTCCTAGAGGCACTACTGCCCTTCCGCACTTCTTCCTAGGCCTAAGCTAATTCTGTGGCTAGCTTATTGTACATTTGCTCCTGGGGACCTGCCTGTTCTGAACATTTCATACAAATAGAATTATACCATATCCCATAGAGATGCTCTTGGGGTCTAGCTTCCCTCCCTTAGCCTAAAATTTTCAAGCCTCCTCCACTTTGTTGCCCTTATCAATATTTTCACTATTTTTTAAGAGCTGATAGCATCCCATGGCATATATTTATGACATTTATTTATCCATTCATAAAATTTTAGTACACCATTCAAAGAAGAAAAAGAAGCCAGGAGGAGCTCAAGGAGGTCACAGCCCCCAGGGATCTGACGGAACAATAACTGGGCAAAGTTTAACAATTGTTCATTCATTTGATGTCCAGGCAAAGAATAGTGACTCCGCAGAGGAGGGCCATCTTCCCAAGTGCCTTCCACACCACAGGGCAGGGCCACAAGGACCCGTGTTATCTTGACCTCCAGCCCTGTTGCGCACCCCTACTTTATACATCAGAGTGTGGAACACAGATGAAGTCCCCAGCAAGTCTGTAGGATGATATGATATGAGCACGGCCGTGTCAGGGACGCCAATGCCTCAGAGTCACAGGGATGGCAAGGCTTTCCCTGGGTCAGGCTCAGGAGAACCACCAGGCTTTCCTTTGGTTCAAGTTCACAAAGGTTACCCTTTGGTTAAAAAATGGTACATTCAAAAAAGGCTGCAGGGTCACCCTCCCCCATCCCAGACTGCTCCCCTAGAGACCCTCTATGGATACCAGCTGACCCACCTCCTTGTCCGTGCCGTATGTAGCAAACGCCCCCAATATCCTGACTGCTTGTTTGTTTCATCCGAGGGCATGGCCCACTTACTTGTGTCTGTTTTTCTTAATCTCCTGTTGCTCCCAGTCAGGTTTCCAGGACCCTGCCTAGTGGTCAGCACCAGGCCTACAGGATGTGCATCGAGGTCATCACGGAAGCAATGGGGAATGTGTAAGCTTGGCCACCTTAGTTTAAATCTGTGTCCCGGAAAACCAATTACAGCGTAAGATCCCAGTGTAGGTCTGGGGTTACTTTTAGAGAGTGATGTTAAAGGCTGAAAGGCCACGCTTGTCACAGTAACAGGCACGGAGATTGTCACCTGTCAGACTGAAAAGACTTCTTCTGGGCCCAGAGGTCTGGAGGTTTCAGTCTGTGAAGGACAGCTGTTGCTTAGAGTGTGCATGGGAACATGGTGGGAACATGTAACAGAACAAAGCCACGTACAATGTGGCTAAGGAGAAGAAGGAGACAGTCAGACCCCTACAATCCCCTCTGAGTGTGCACACAAGGGTCCTGAAGACGCCTCACCAGGCTACCCTTCTTAAGGACTTCATCCTTTACCACACGGGCCTTTGGGGGACTTTTATGAGCCAAACCATAGCAAACTGATATTGCGTTGCTCATTTCATCTTATGGATCTCACTCCAGCTCCCTTTCAGCCTTCTAACGTAATCAGCAGGAAGACTGTACTAAAAACACAAGAATCAAGCATCTGACAGCTGGAAGATACCTCCTAACACTTACTCTCGCTGGGCTCACAGGGGGGAGATGGCTGTCCAGGAAGCACCTCTGGCAGGGGCAGGCGGTGTTTGCAGAGGCTCCATCTGTCTGCGGTTTCCTAACAAACCACAGAGACTGCCTCTGTGCATGATGCTGCCCCACCAGGATGCTTGCTGCCTCCCGTTGGACCTTTGCCTCTGCCACCATCGTAAAAGGCTATGCAGCCTCCCCGCCTTTGTATGTTCCCGCTGGCTTCATGCTGTCAGGCAGAAGCATGTGATTAGCAGGCTGTGAAGTGTGGAGAGCGAAAGCCTGCTCTCTTTTGGCCCCCGTGCCAGCAGGTGGGCCATGTTCTCACCTATTTTGGGATTCTTCTAAAACAGGAAAAAAATCTTTGGACACTGAATGGTCAGAAAAACAACAGGTGTCCATGACGGCTCTAAATATAGCGTTCTCAAGCAAGCAAAACACGGAGCTTTGTCCCATCAACAATGCCAGGGTCGGGCAATGAGTCAGACAACTGACAGGCAAGAATAACGGGAGACAGACACTTTAAAAAAAGGGTTGTGTCCTAGGTGAGTGTCTCATTTTGCTTGTGTCTCAGAGGGAGGACAGAGTGCCTGGAGGGGAGACTAGGGTCCCGCAGGGAGTGAGATGTTTCTAGTAGTCAGGAGTGTGCCTTACAAGCAGATGGGCAAACGGAAGAAGTGGAGAAGGCATGCTGCCTGGAAGTCTTCGGTAGACACTGGTAGATGGGCCCAGGTGGTGGGCTTGCCTATCTACTACAGAAGCCGCTAGCCCATGTGACATTTTGGCTCTTATTAAATGATACTCTCACCCAGGGCTGGAGAGGTGGAGCAGAGGTTAGGATCACTTGCTGCTCTTCAGACGACCCAAGTTCAGCTCCTAGCACCATATCGGGCCGTTATATGTTGTCCTCTGACTCTAAGATTCTTCGGGAATGTCTCCATCCCCAAACTTGCTGGTATCTGCCCCTTTGGGGCTACTACAACTGTCCCTTTTGGTGGGGTCCTAATGAACGCAGTAAAAAGCAGTCTTTTTCTCGACCTAGGCATAGAAGTAACTTTGAGGAACGATGACTTTAACTGAGCTGAAGATTTATTTTTTTATATGTTCCCATTTTATTGCTTCAGGTGCGAGGCCACACAGGTTTCCTCACGCAGTCTGTGGAAGAGATAGCCTTTCTTCCCTGCTGGGGTCTTGCAAAGATGGGCAGCTCTGGGCTTTCCTCAAGGGCAGGCCCAGCCGGGGAAGGTGTTCCAAGGATGGGAGAGGCAGGTGTGGGTTCTTCTTCCCTAGTCATCCTGCTCCTGAGGAAAAGCTTATCTATCTCTCCTAGCACTAACGGGGAAGGTGGGACTTGGGAGGCACTAGAGCCAGACCCATCCAGCCTTTTACGGCTCAGTGTCTACCGTGGAGAGATACAGAGCAGGGGGCAGATACTGAACATCTGTGCCATGGTTTGGGCAAATTACTCAGCCTGACTAAGATCTCTATCCAAACCAGTGTTGATAATGGTCACTTGGGCATAAAATGGCAGCGTGGTAGAAGCCACCACCTTGCTGAATTCTGGCTATGTGCTCAGCACCGACCCACGACTTTGCAGGCTTCTGCTCCTGCTCAGAGTGTGTTACAGGTCACATCCCCCAAAGCTGCAGGTTGGGGCTGGGGTTTTCCTATCTCTCACTAGTTGCTTTTGTATCTGAGTTATAGACGTGTGGGTTTTCAGAGCCGTTAAGGACTCAGATACCATCGAGCCTTGTGAAGATTAGGCAACTGGTCTGCGAGTGTGGAAGGAAGGTGGCAGCTAGGGAGAGGGCCCTGGAGGGGTTATGTGTGACATGTGGAACTTCTCCACCCTCTCCACCCCGTCACCCCTCCTCCCTAGACCCAGTCATTCAGGAAGACAGTCCAGTCCACTAGCCAGAAGCCAGGAAGCCTGCAGGGGTCCCCACCCATCCTGGTTGCAGTGGGGCCCTGTCCCTAGCAACCATTGCCAGGAGGTATCTCCTGCAAGGCCCAGTGCTTTCTCCAGCATGTCCTGACTCCTTGCTTTGGCCTGGACCAGGAACTTTAGATCTCAGTTGCTCTGTTTTCTTCCTGTTTTAGGACATGATTACAGCCTCAGGCCATCTGAGATTCTGGGGTGGCTATCCCAGACCCAGCCTGAAAAGAGATAAGGAGAGCTTGTGTACGTGTGTGTGTGTGTGTGTGTGTGTGTGTGTGTGTGTTGTGTATGTGTGTGATTTATTTTCTTCATATGTTCCCACTTTATTGCTTTTACATTTTAAAGAGTCATTAAATTTACTCATTTAATGCAAGTCAATTCGAAAATTCAGTCTATCTTAGGATAAAAGAATTCACTTTTCTTACATCGAAAATAGTCGAACAGCAAAAGATATATTGCAAAATTAATTTTTATCTTAAAGTAAATGCACATGAACCAAAGCTTCACTAGGCATTGACCAGAAGTGGGACGCACTTATAGCAATGGACACCCACGCCTTTGTATGTGAACACAGGACGCATTATAGCCATTTGCTGTAGGTACACATGCTTTGGGGAGCTTGGTTTCTAATGGGCTTGGTGACAAGAAGCAGGGAATGTTCTAGAAGAGAAACATAGGCAGGCCATGTGGAATTCACTTGCAGCTCCCGTTCGCATCCCCTGTGGAGAACAGTAACAGTGCGCAAGGCAGAGACCTTGCCTCTCACTCCAGCCTAACTCTGGTTACCCTGCACCTATTGTGAAGTCTCTTTCCTCTTGGTTGTCTCTCTCCAATCTTTGGGAATCCTCCCTGCCGAGCCCTGTCACCCTGGAATGGCCCTGGAGTTACACAAAAGACCTCTGTTCTGGTGTCCTGGGCCGAGGGGAAATGCAGGGATGGCAGCTCAGAGGCAGTGGTGCTGGGGACCATCACATGTCACACTGTGAAGTGGGAGGTCTGTGCTTCTGAACCCACAGCCGACCATCCATGACCCTCTGCTCGGCTGAGTGAGATCTTTGTGTTACCAGCTTCCAGCTGCCTTTGTTTTGCTCCGTTTCTGTGAGTCAAGCTCTTGCTATGTCTCTCCCAACCTGGTCTTAAGTTCCAGATCCTCCTGCCTCTGCTTCCTGAGCACTGGGATTATAAACGTACCCCACACACTGGCCTCAACTGCTTTTCAATGGGAAAACCCTGGACCCAACTGCTTGCTTTGCACATTGCCGTAGTATTGGGTAAAGCCTTTTCTCGGCATGTACTTCTGAAGCCCTCCTATTCAAGTGAGGTCCCTCTTGGAGGGGCAATCAAACTTCGGCATTAAAACTGTTCTCTTCCCTCTTTGGTCGGCTATCTGTTCTTATTTATTGCAGGCTCTGGATCTCTGTCTGGTTTGTGAAGTCTGGCTGTTTATCTTGAACAGAGAGCCTGGACTTTATCAAAACCGGCAGTATTTTAGAGGATGCGTCCTAGGGTGAAAGTTTGGGGTCTCAGAGTTTAAACCTGAGCCTCTGACCTGAGCCCCAGAGGCATAGATTTTGCTGCTTTAGAAGCTGCTGTCTTGGGAGAGGATTTGCTCTAAACGGTACCCCTTATCTGTGGGGCATATGCTCTAAGAGCTTCAGGGAGATGGGTAAGCCCAAACAGAGCACAAAACAATGTGAGTGCAGTGCTTTCTCCCGCATAGACATACCTATAACAGTTGGGCTCAGTAAGAGGCAAACCCCCGCTCACAGCAGTGTAGACCAGAGCGACAGTGAACTGCGCTGTATAATTCACTGTCTCCATTCAGCGACACCGCTGTAATGGAAGTCAGATGGGCGTGGCCTCTTCCTGTATCCCGTATTGTTCTGTACCCTAGATGCTCATCTTCCCGTGACAGCATGAGATAATGCTGACAGGAAGCCCTCCCCGGCCTCCGTGGTATGTCTGGGTTGTCCAGATTCCTATTCCTGGATTTGGGGGTCCTCGTTAAGAACATAGGGGTCATGTGAACTGAAGTACTGGGATGCTGCAAGTCAGTGTCACACCTGAGAGGACAATGAAAGTGGCCACAGCGGCTGTGGTGGGGGTTGTCTAGATGCTCTTCTTACCTGAGGTGTACCGGCACAGCGCTTCCCCACACTGTTAGGTAGAACAATTGAACGTAGAATTGACGCCAGCCACGGTGGTGCATGACAGCACTTGGGAGAGGGGAGCAGGAGTTCGAGGCCACCCTGGGTTTCCTAAGACCCTATCTTGAAACAGAACAAAAACTCCACAAAAGCAAACCATTTGTGTTTGTTGCAGGGATTTTTCTACTTTGTATATTCAGACCATGGTTGAGAGTCGGTAACAATAGCTCATGGGGTGAAAACTGCAGACTACAGGGGCTACTGGCTGCAAATGACTTTCTTCTTATGTAGTTAAATTAGAGTTAAATGAAGCTCTAATTCAATCCAGAGGAAACTTCATTGGGGGCCGTGCAGGGGACAGCTCATCCCTGCAGATCCTCAGTATTGACCATGGGTTCGCCCCCAGGAGGGTGTTTAGTGAGCACGTATGAGCTGACCAGCTCAGTGGCAACGTGCTATGGGAGCCTCACGGGGACAAACCTAACACAGAGAAAGCTGAACCATGTGGGCACAGGTTCTTCCCTCTCTGTTCTACTCACCGTGTGCGCTCCATGAGGGATTCTTGCAGTCAGGCCTGACTGGTCTCTGATATTCAGGTTGGCTTTAATGTCAGCTGCCTGCAAATTAGAACCACCTGAGTAGAAAGTCTCCACCGAGGAACCAAACATCCTGACTGCCTTGATTGATGTGGGAAGGCGCACCTCGCTTGAGGGTGCCACCTTCTGGTCACAGCCTGGATAAAAACGGTATTTCAGATGGTTCTGCAACCAACGATTCCAAGCTTTCGTTGTAGACTAGGGATCAGCTGCTGTCTGGGAAATTTCCTGGTTCCTGGTGCAAGATTTGGATGACTGAGGCACCCCACCTCATGGACCTAGTAACGACAGGTTGTCATGCTAGCAATCCATATGCACATGCATAGATACATGTATGTATATACATGCACATGCACGTGTAAGCGTATGCGTGTTTGTGCGTGAGTTCGTCCCCTTGGACTGGAGTTTCTGCCTTTAGTGCTCCAGTTCCTATCTACAGCTCAGCCTGTGTCCTCCCAAGCTTTTCTAGGCTGGAGCCTGTCACCTGCTGGAGTCTGTGTTGTGCTGTTCTAGTCTGGATGGCCACCAGGTCCCACCTGACGACTGCTTTGAACAAGGGCAACGCAGGCTCACTCAACACGCCCACTCTACCTGCCACTGGGCCACCTTGGCATTTCCTGTCACCAAAAGACACGCCCTACATCTAAGGACTCAGCTAAAGATCCGAGAATCAAGAATCGTCTTAAGGTATTTCCCCTTCCTCACCACCCTCCTCCAATTAAAGGCACATCCCCTTCTCTCTGTTCTGGAGAATTCTCCTCTTCCCACACGTGCCCATTTGCTTGCTCAGACCCAGTGCAGGGTTCTTCAGAGAGGTTAATGTGGGATCCGTGAATATGAGCATGAGTGAGCTAGCAATTGGGGGCCTTCCTTGATGACCTAGCCCTTCCTTACCTCTCCGATTGCCGCAGATTTACTTCATTGGCAATCTCTGAACACCTTGTGACTCCGTGTACTTCCTGGGCCCCTCCGCTCCGCCGGAGCCCCGCTTCTGTCTCCGTGGATGGCTCCTCCGCTCCGCCAGAGCCCCGCTTCTGTCTCCGTGGACGGCTCCTCTGCCCGCTGCTCTATTTGTTTGTTTGTTTGGTTTTGATTTTTCAGTTTTTGGACATAGATTTCTCTATATAACCCTGACTGTCCTGGAACTTGTTCTGTAGACCAGGCTGGCTTCTAACTCCCAGAGACCCTACCTGCCTCTGCCTCCCAAGTGCTGGGGTAAAATTTGTGTGCCACCACCACCCGGCACTGTAGAGAACTTTCTTAGAGAGCCCAGATCCCATGATGTTGGTTTTGCCTGTTCCCATATTGATTGTTATTTTTGTTGTTGTTGTTTACAGCGATTGTTTTTGCTGGGCAGTGTCCCAGGAAACAGGATTTGGACTTGTCAGTCACTGGATTCAAGCTTCTTAGGTATCGGTTGTCTAATGGAGATGTAGAAAGTCCCGATGTTGTGATTAAACCCTTTTACTCTCGACTTTTGTGTGTTGCTTCTTACTCCACTGGATTCAGGCGTTGGTCACTCAGGTGTCCTGCTGTGCATGGCCTCAAGACCAGCTCCGCGTGGCCGGCTATCTCTGAGTGCTGGAACTGCCCGTCCTGTTCTTTGCCACGCCAGGTCACTTAGGGCAGAGTGCCCTGATCAGTATATTAAGACCTGGTTTACTGTCCTTTGACCTCCTAGGGCATGTGACATGTCCCGCCTTTCTGCTGTGTTCTAAGTGTTTCTCCTGTGGGGCTCTGTGTTTGGAAAAGTTCACTGACTTGTGAACTGCCCTAGGGCAAGGGTGACATTCATCCTCCCCAAACCTCTCCCCATCCCCAGAACACCCAAAACAGGAGCATGTGTGTGCCAGTCGATTCCCGGGAAAGCGCAGCTGGTTCTGCTGAGTCGATTTGAAGGCTGAAGGGAGAGAAAGAGGGAAGGGCTCTGGGAATTAGGCCAGCTGGAGGGAAGCCCTGAAGTTGAGGGAGGATGAAGGAGAAGGACACATTCTTCATCAGAAATGGGATGAAAGAGGGGAGCATGTTGACGACTGTGAAGGAATAGCTCACACAGAACCATTGGAAGACACCCGAGGAGAGCGAGCCTGAGCCAGGCTGAGCGAGGTGAGACCTCCCAGCGAGGTGAGACCTCCCAGGTAGGTAGAGCACTGGTCCGCTAATCATTGGTCTGTTGGCATCAAGGGCAAGGCTGGCAAGAGAGGGTGCTGCACCCCACTTGCCCATGAGTGTGCCTTCTATCCTTTTATCAAGATGAAAGTCAAGTCAGCAGCGTGTTCTCTGTCCTCTTGAGAGAGGGCGTGACAATGGTCCTCTGCCACCACCGCCACGTCTCACCTCTCCTCACTTCTCACACCAAAGGCCACGTGATTTCCTGACGCTCGCCTTTGTTTCTCATTTTGCCGTCACAGTTCTATGGTTTGTGTTTCATCTGAGTCCAGGATCAGAGAGGTCAAAAGGCTAGCCCAAGGTCATGCAACTGCTCTGGGAGCCGGGGAAGGGTAGAGCATTTGCTGTGCAAGCATGCATGCCTGAGTTCAGACCCCAGCACCCATGGGAAAAGCCCAGCAGGGCTGTGAGTACCTGTAACCCAAGAGTGGAGAAAACGGTTGCTGAGGCTCGCTGGCTGCCAGACTCAGTAAGAGACCCAATTCCAAGAGAGTAAGGAATGACTGAACAGGACACCCGATGTGATCTGCTCTCCAAATGCACGCACAGGCATGTATGCATGTATCCATATGTACCATAACACACACATACATACACACACACACACACACACAGAGGGGTGGTAAGTGTTGCTGGGCACAGCCTAAGTCCGGGCCGTGTGCCTGTCCTTGTTCCCTGAGTGTGTACCTGTGTTGTCTACACCCCGTATGCGGGGGTGATCCAGCAGTTAGTAAGTGCACACACGCAGAACTGTGCTGGGAGCGTCCTGAGGTCAAGCGTGTCACATGTGGCCAGCGTGTACATGCGCTCACGCACAGGGGCAGTCCACCCCCTTCTCAGATGTCTTGGCTGTGGCTTTGACAACTGAAACCCAGCTGCGCTCTGGCTGCGGAAACATCCGCTGTGGAAACCTAGAGGCTGACAGTCCCTAAAGAGGGGTTCCACATGCTGCCAGCGAGCACGCCTGGCCCTCCGCCTAATTCCCTGCAAATGCGCCTTAAATCTGTTTCTAATTTGGACTCTGCCTCCTCCACCCTCACCACCCCTTCCCACTCTCCCAACTTGCCCCAAACCAGTCAAATTATGCTGAATAACGACTGTGGCGGGGAGGAGAAGGCGAAGACGAACTGTGGACCTCCGGACGCGGTGACAGTGTCACGTTTTTATTTGTAAAGGGAACGGCTCAGGAGTCAAAGTAAGAAGTAATTTGGTCTAGAACTGCAGGTCGCACCTCTTTAGGGAAGAACTCGGTGACTGTTACATTCCAATGTCCTCTGGGTTGAAGAAAGCTCACATACCTATGAACAGATGCAAAACAAGGGACTGTCCGTCAAAGGAGATGTGTATCGCCAGCAAGGATCTCAGCGGTCTGAGCGGTACCCAGATGCTCTGGGTATAAAGGTTCTAAAGGAAAAGACGCCTCCCGTATATTTTGCCGTCCTGTGACAAGTTCAGCGCCTGGAAGCCCCAGCTCATGGGAAAGTATATACAAAGCTGAAGGAGGAGAAGGGGAGCGGAGTTCTTATGTACATACACACTGTACACACTGACAGCAGCTCGGAAAAGCTTATCTGAGTAGAGAAAGGTGGGGTGGGCGCCAGAGATACTGATCAGAACGTGTTTGTGTTGGGGGCTGGGAAGTGGGTACGGACACAGTTGGTTTGAGGCCCGGTGTGCATGTGGAAAGCGCACAGGCATTCTCTAAGGCCAGGGGACTTGCCTCTCCGACCCCCTTTGGGGCCTTGCAGACCAGTGAGTGAGCTGAGAAGAGGCCAGGGAGGCCTTGAGGCACCTGTGCTTTGTGACCAGGTAGCCCAGGAAGCCCAGAGGAGGACCAAGTCATGTGTCTGGCCTCTGCAAGATTTGGAATGCATCCCGTGTGCTTCCCATCCCCCCCACCCTCCCCCAACCCTGAGCGCCTGCAGCTGGTGTGCGCTGAAGGGGGGCGGGTACTGCTTGACCTGGCTTATTGCCTGTCCCTCAGCTGGCTTGGCAGTTGTGGGAAGGTGGGGTTTGCAGCCTCGAGGCCACCAGGGAAGCCGTGAGGCTGTCAAGACCGAGAGCCACACGCTTCCCCATCTGGCTGCCAAGGAAGCCGGAAAGGAGCCGTGCTGAGAGCAATGACACCCTGAGGACGTTGCTTTCCTTTCCCTACCACACAGCGGACAAGGCCACCAGGAAGCCCTGGGAAGAAAGGAGCGGATGTGGCCACTCTTCTGTGTACCCAGGACCTGTCTCCTATTTCACCCACCAGACCCCTCCCATCTTTCCCATCTTTAAACTGTTGCCACTTATTTAGTTATGGGCAAGGCTAAGGGCGCTACAGACGTGGAAACCAGTGTTTAGCGCCAAGAGCACATCCGGAGGTTCTCTCAGCAGAGAAGGCTAGCCAGCTGAGACTGGTCCTCCCCAGCAACACCCCCCTCCCCCACCCCTGGAATTAGCTTTTCCTTCCCAGCTCCCAACCCCAACAGTGACTCCTGGGACATGGTTCTGACTCATGTCTTTGAGTAGAAAAGAGGGCTGCAACCTCTAGAAACTTCCCAGGAAGTATTTTCCAAGCTTTGTCCTCTTCTGCCCAGATGGGACAAGGACGATCTGACCTTGGGGCGGGCACAAATTAAAATGGTACCACAGCTGCCTCTGGCATTCTGACTTTCCGAGTCCCCTATAGAGAATGGTTCACAGCACTGTGTGTGTCCTTCAACTAGTTCTGAGCAGCGAGTGAACCGCTCTCCTGTGTTTGAACCACATGCGGTTGGTGTTTGTTATAGCAGCAAACTGACCCCTAAGGGATTAATTAGGAGTTCTCACTTCCCTTATACAAATGAGGAAAACCAATTGCCAAAGTTGCATAGTCAGCAAATAGCAAGCATAAGACCAACATGCCCTCTTCGCACACTCTGGTCATGCGGCCCTTCCACTCTTGATAGGGTTGCGTACCTGCAGGCCAGCAACGGCTTCACAGAACAGTGCTAAGACCAGCATCTCAATTCTCCTGCCACTAATTTCCAATGGGTTTAGGAAATGTCACCTTAAGGCCAACAGGTTTTTTTGCTCACCTCTCTTCAGGATCTGAATGAACTGTAATGGCCCAGTGCCCACCCCCACCCCCCAGCCCCCGGAGTTTTTATGACATGTCAACAGACAGGGACCTTTTCTTTCAGAGCTTCTGGTGAGGCTTAAAGTTTGGGGGAGAGGCTGGCCTCCAGCTTTCTGTCTGTCGTGGTGGGATTCATGGGCCTTGGCAGCACTCCAAGGGCAGACATCGGAATCCAAGCCCGCAGGACTTCAGTTAAAAAGTGGTCCTAAGTCAATGCAACAGGTGTCCTTATACAAGAGTACATTCAGATGGGGTGGGACACAGGGTACAGAGGAAGACATGAAGATGCAGGGAGATTTCAGGTGGATACAGAGTATTAGAGTGAAGGGTATCTGAGCCAAGAAGTGTCAAAGACAGCTAGCAAATGCTGGAAACCAGAGAAAGATCTCCCCAGAGCCACCAGCTCAGAATGTGGCCCTGCAGGAACCATACACTGGTCTCCTAGCCTTCTAAAGTATTCCTCTTTCTTCAGACACAAACAGTATGTCAACTGCTCAGCTTGAGAGAGGGGCTGCTGGGCTCTGCCTCCCACTCCTTCTGTGTCTTGGGCTCATTACTTCGTCTCCCTAAAAGGCTTTGTTTTCTGTAAGAGGGGATGCTAACACTTCAGAGAGTATGTGGAAGGGTTAGATGAATTAATTATTGTACCTAAAATGCCTAGGCTGGTAGCTAGTAGATAGCTGGTGTCTGTCGCTTTGACATGACCCAGGCATCCCTTGGCATCTTTAGAGGTAGCTATACCTGCGTTGAGTTTGAAATGATGCAGTTACCATGACGTCATTATGGTGATCTCCATTCACCCACACAAGGGATCAGAGCCAGAACCTTGTACATGCTAGGTGAGGGCTCTACCATTGTCTTATA